CAGGCATTGAATCTTAGAAAAATAATTTATTCAGATGGTACGGCGGAAAAAAAAAAAAAAACAAACAGCTTGATCTAGGTGCTTCCAGGGAGGAAACTCAAAAAAAAAGAAATCTATGGGAAATTATGCACTTACAATCCATGCACCCACCCTTCACGCGCTCTTCACGTGCCTTTCACGTGTGTTCTGGCCCAATGGTGATTTCTGGTCTGGGATCTTCTAACACCTGATTGGATTCCTTCTCTGTCTCCAGGCAGGCCGTTAACTGTTCTTATCTTGTCAAGCTGCAGCTTCTTCTGATATTTGGAGCCTCCTTATCTTTTCGTTTGTGGTGGCTCTGGAGGCTCTCTTTTGCTTAACTAGGCAAAAGTTCAGCAAATCTAGGTGCAAGTTCACAGCTTGCGGCCTAAGGCTTCAGCAAATCTAGCTACTCATGCTAAGCAAGTAATGCTAAACAGCATACCAAACCGCACAACGTTATGCTGTAACCCCTGCATCCCAATGCTAAATGACTCTGAGCAATTAATTATATTTAAAACTTATTTAAGCCAAATGACTAATATATCTTAACATTGGCACGGTTCAGATGCCTATTCCAGCCCAGTATTTCCAAATAAAGCTCAGAGCCTTGCTTGTCAGGACCGGTATGAACATTCAGCAGAGGGGATGGTCCCATTTTAGTGCTGGCATGTTGACTGCTCATGTCATGGAAGAGGATCAGGAGGGATGGACCTTGGACAAGGGGAATTTTCCACTTTCAGTGAAAAAGCAGTGACAGATGTGGGAATTATCAAATGAGCTGTGTTACAAGTGCAAACTTAAATAAACCTGTGAGGATCATTTCTCCCCAAACATAGTTGTGGCCAGTGGTGTCCTCTTTGGGGAAAACTGGCATTAACTCTTTGGGGGGAATCCCAAGAGGGCGCTGGGCTTTCTCACCTCTTTTTCCTCCCTCCAACCATCCTTCTCCACTGCCTGTTTCCCTTCAGACGCTGCAGGTCTCCAATATCCCCTCTCCTGGCTGCAGAGATGCCACCACAGAATAACAAACCTTGGCCTTGGATCCGAGAAGGGTGATTCACGTCCATAACTCTAACTTCTTTCTTCTACGAACAGGGTGGCTACATCCAAATTGCTTGCAAGGAGCAGCCCCGCGTCAGGGCACTGTCTGAGAGAATGCTGGTTGGGGTGTGACCAAGATATGTTGATGGTTGAATGGCACGGATGATGTTGGGGCTGGGCTCGTGCCCTGTTTGGTGAGCTGGTCTTGATCTGGCCTTTCAGGCAGGGCATTGGTGGGGTTGTGAATCATGGTAGTTGACTCCATGTATGATGGTGTTGTTTGATATTTCCCCATAAGCCTCCAACCTGGCAGAATTGAATTATCTCTTAGGACCTTGGAGGTTAAGGGAACGTAACAAAACGCCTCTGGTTCCCTGTCGGATGGTACCTGAAGCCCCAAAGGACTCAGGTTTCTCACCCATCGTGAACAACAGCAAGGCTCCTGGTGACCTTGCTGTCAAGATGAGATGGAAGTCTACCCAGATCACCTTGTATTTCAGCCAGACACAGTGTACCTGGGCTACCCCTGTCTTTCCTATCTGGAGGACATCTGCCAAGGGGATGACTTGAGGAGCTCTGTCCTGTTGTTTGGAGCCTACCAAATCAGCTCCAGACCCAGATGTGCTTTGGGAAAGGGAAGAATAGAGCAGGCTGCCTGCAACAGTCAAGCCTTCAGTGAGAAAGGCAAAACATCACATACTGGTCTTCCTTTTTTTTTCCTGGGGTTTCTGGATCCCATGATCTACACCTTCTGCTCGGTCGCCTAACCCTATTGCCATTTCATGGCCAGATGAAGCAAACCAGCTCACCCTGACCTGTCAAGGAAATAGGAGAGGACACGATCAGATCAGTGATGCTGTCCGGGTCTGGGTTGGACTGCTTGCCCTGCATGAACCATTTTCATGTCTCAGGAACACTGGGAGCACTGCCCATGGCTGCCACCTTCTCACCTTGTCCCATGGCCTTTCTTTTCCCTGTCGAGGCTGTAGTTTACAACCCTGACTTGAAACAGAGAGTTTTTCTCCCTGCACTGTGGAGGAGACTTGAAACTGGAGCCGCCCTCCAGAAAGAAAAAGGGAGAAAATAGGGAGAGCTGACATTAAAACGTTCCCAGACCTGGCAGTTTGCTCCACCTCGCTCCTCCATCATGGGTTGAAAACACGCTTTGTCTGTCTCCAGTTACACAAAATGGGCAGGCCTTGCACAACATGCTCCCAAGGTCTGGCACAAACACATGCTGTCAGCTGCCAAGCTTGAAGTGGGTTAAGATTTCTTCCTTAAAATTCCCAGGCTCTGTTAACTGTTTATTGCCCTTTGTGACAACCGTCAGGTTTAGCACCCGCCTAGCTCAGTTTCTGCAGCAGGGTTCACCCTGCTACTCTCCCCTCTCTTTTATGTCCTTGGGGATGTAGTTTTAACACCTCCACTCTGTTCTCCTGACGCCACCTGCACTTCCCACTGCCCTAGTTGTCCCTGCTCTGGCTTTCCTTCCAGCTCTCTTCACCCCTTGCTTGAAAAAACTGGGCTGCTCTCTTCTTTAAAGGCCACCCGTCCCCCACCCCATGGCTGTGGTGTTGGTTGGAGTCCAGAGCCCTTGCAGTGGCCCTGGGCGTGATCGCAATATCAACAGCACACAAGAATAATGTGTTTTTGGGACCTGGCCAGACCCCAGTCTGGGTCCCAAAGCTTTTGCAGTCTTTTCCATCAGGGATGCAGGGATAGGGGCCAAGTGATGCCTCAGATGCTTTCCCCATCCAGGCCCCACAGGAGAGTCCACAGTTTAACTCCAATGGCTGGTTAAACTTCGATTTGGGGAGCTGTAGAAAATGCTCCTCAGACCCTGACGGACTGTGGTCAATACCTGAATGTTGTCTGCACATAACAAAATGTACATTTTGCACAATAATGCCACCATAGGAGAAACAGCAAAGCAGCGATCCTTCCCTCCCATCCCATCTTATTTCTTACCCTCACTTTGACTGTCTTTGATTATTTCCCCCCAAGCTTTGTGTGTTTTGCTTTGATTTATTTTGCTTTGCACCAATATTTCTCAGCTCCCTCCTTCTCTCTTTCCAGTTCTGGGTGAAATATTAATCTTGTTTATTATTATTAACCTTCCCTCTCTCTAATCTATTTAAATGCTTTCTCACATTTCTACTTCCTACAGCCCATTTCTCACTTGCAGATTTTCTATTCAGCTGAACTTCGCTTTAACAGTATAATTTATTTACTGTTCATTTATTTGTTTTAATTTCAGACCCTTTCTTCTTTCTTCTTGTGGGCTGTGTTCATACATTGCTCCCTTCTTCCTGCTGAGGACCTGCATTTTTCTGCTTGCTTGGCTCCAAGATGAGCTGAATTCAATGCGGTAATTCAGTTTCATTTCTGGATTTTTGATGTGGATGGAATGGAAGGAAGTTTTGTTTTCCACTTCTCCAGATGACTGAGAGAAGCCTGGCTATTATACGTAAAACAAACATGTAGACTAATCCCTGCTATTTTCCCCCATGCTCTAGCAGATCATGCTTCCTTCCTGATGTAATTCATGCATGTATTTATACACAGTCTTGTTCAGAGAGCATGGCTTTTTCACAGATTATTTCCAATGTATAGTTGCTACATTACTTGTCACATGAGTCTTTCCCATCCTTGATAAAAGAGGAGCTAATTAAAGATTCATGCTCAAGGTCAGGGCAGATCCAGAGAACAGAGTGGAAGACTTTGAAAACTGGATGCTTATCCCTTCCACCCTGCTCTGGGCACAGGCAAAGACAGAAATTGTTGGGGGCTAAAGTTGCTGTAAAAAAGGAGGAACTGGGCAAAGGAAGAATGACTGGAAGCAAAAGACTCATCACAGAGGTTGGGCATGGGGCCATCTGCCCAGGATCTTGCAGACAGGAGATCAGAGGAAGAGCCTATGAACCAACTCCTTGGGGAGTAATTTGGGGAAAACAAAGAGCAACTGGCTGTTCCTTATTCTGTTTCCACACCACTTGTGACCTTACAAACCTTGACTCTGAGCTCCCCTTGGTCATTCCTCTCTCTAAAGGTGAAAGGTCCTGGTCTGCTGAGATGTCTTCTTGACCAAGACTTGTTTTATTTCTCAGTCATTTTTGCTCCCATTTGTAGTTTAACTCCTGAAGCCATTTCCATGCACTTTGTGCCTCTGATGCATTCTGAGTCATCTGTCAAGAGAAGGTGTAGTGGTTGTGGGAGCAGAAGGAGGCAGCCCAGAAGGACTGGAAAGGTCATGAGGGACTGGAAAAACCTGATGGACTCCAGAATTGGTCTACAGGTAGCAACAAACATCATCACTTGGAAACCCTGGATGCTTCTGGAGGACAGAGAAGCAAAACAAAACAAAACCATCGGACCCCATCCCTGCCTGGACCATGGGAGCCTCTGAGTGACAGTCTCCAGGCTCAAACAGTGTCAGTGCAGAAACGATACAAGCTGGTTTTCTGCCTTTGTACAAATGAGATAATTCTGAATGACTGTGGACAAACCAGTGAAAATCTTTTTTGCCTCCTCTCCTACTACCCACAGAGATGAAGCTCTCATATCATGGTAGGGGGAAAGGATGGAGGATGCCAGGTGATGCCTACTATCTTGCAAGCAATAAGCCACCCCAGACTGGTGCAGCTGGCTCTGTTTTGCTCCAGCTTTTGCCATTCAGCCCAACAGAGTAAGATGAGACTCCCATGTTTGAATCAGATAAATTGTTCCCCAAATTAGCAATGCAGACATGGTCAGCAGGAGTAGGACTTGGAAAAAAAGATTGGATCTGAATGGGAAGTAAAAAGAATTGCTACCCGGAGTCTCGTAATGGGTTCCTACGCGCAAACACGCCCATCACTGATCACATCTTATGTGCTGTCACTCCCCAAACCTCAAATTACTGTAATCAACAGAAGTCAGAGTAAACGTGGTCCCAGTATAAAACCTTACCGTGGTGCACCAGCCCACATTGTTCAGGCTCCGAGGGCACAACGACCATGAAGGCTTTTCTGATTGCCCTGCTGGTGGCAGTGCTGTGTGCCAAGCAAGGTAAGGACCTTCGGAAGCTGGGAGAGCCAGATAGAGAGGATGAAAATACCAGAAGAAATATTAGAGATAACACAGGGACAAGAAGGTTTGACATCTTTGGTTGCAATTGGTGAGGTCTTGGCAGTGCAGCTTTTCTTTGGCGTCAGCTGCATCAAGCAGTATTTAGCATGGTTGAGTCTTAGCTTCTGGGTGAGTCCTGTTGACGTACCCATAACCCAAAGAAGAAAAGCTCACTGCTCTGGTTTCTCACACCCTCAGGTATCAAGCTCCGACCACTGACATCTGAAGACAGACATGTGACCTGAAAAATGCTAATAGGAATTAAGCTGGGCTCACAGTTTTGCCTTTGGTTTTATTTTGTTCCTGAATGAAACTTGAGGAGTTGTTGATAAAGGTAGCATGGCTGGTATTGACACCGCGTCTTCGGCCAGCGTTTCACTTTATTTCCCGCAATGACATTACAATTAAGAAACTAGGTTGCTGGCAGATATCTGAAAGCCTAACAGCTCTTTGTTCACAGGTTTGAAGAGCTTTTTAAAATGTCTGGGAGTGTGTTTGTAATGGGATCCACAATGCTCTGTGCTTGTTCTCTTTCAAAAGGAGGTGCAGATATAATTGGATAATTGTGCAGAAATATCCAGTTGAGAGACATTGGCTCTGAGTGTGTGTTTGCAATCCTGAGGAGTACTGCAAGCCTTTTTGCACCGTTAAGGCTATTTCTGGCTGCATTCGCAAAACTAGAGCTAATGGAGGGTGGAGGCCAGACGCAGGCAAGGCTTTATAACAGCTATAATGGTTTAAGCTGTTATTGTTTCCTGACTGGGAGGGATTTTCTTTGCATCAGGCAGTGAACACAAGAGCATTTCAGTTGATTTCGTGCACATGCTGGGGTCTCGGCTCCATCTGCAGCAGGAAGTGGTTTGAACGACTTTGTGAGATTTGGCAGAAAAGCAGATCAGAGAGCGCTACAGAGTCTGTAAAATGAACTTAATGTTTGTTAGGCAGCATGTTTGGGAGTGCTCTGGCACGGTCTGCGAAAGGGCAGTAGCCCACAGCTCGGGCTCCAGAGGAGAGAGGAAAGGCTTAACTTATCCAAGTGATGCAGAAACAGAGAGTGCTGGATTGTCAGTTAAAGAGGAGTTAAAACCAGGATGCAACATGGATTTTTTTCTGCTGTTATGGAGAACACCTGCACTCACAACACCTGGCACTAGAAAAATGTGCATCTGTGCAGGTTTCAGAGCAAGACAGTCAGTCATATGCTGAGGCATCCAAGCTGTACCCAAGGCACCTGAGCTCCCCACATCACAAAGGGGAGGCCTTTTCTTCATCTACCTGGGGTAATTAGGGCCTAAAATGGCTTTTAATTCTCTTTTAAAACCGCTTCTGGAATTGTCTAACCAAGCATTGTGGGCAGGTTCAATTTTGAATTTGAATCAACAGCAGCTGGGCTTTGGAGAGTCCCTGGGCGGAGTTTCCTTGCTAAAAACGAGTTCAATTTCAATTGAAAGGGACTCTTCTGTGCAGAAATAAGAGCCTTCCTGGGTTGATAAAGCCAGGAGGAACTGAACCAGGGAAATTTCAGACTGAAGCAGGACCTCCCCTGGTTTGCAATCTGGTCACCTTCAACCAAGAGCTTCCCCACCCCTGGTGACAATGGAGCAGGCTGTCCTGAGAGCAGCTTATCTGCCTCTGTCACCCCTGCTCAGAAATGAGGAACATTTCATGGGATTCTGAACAGGAGAGACACAGTTTCCACAAGTTGTGAATCCACCTCCAGGGAACGAGATGGCACATGCCTGTGTTTCTAGCATGGCCAGCTGGCCAGCCTGGGAATTTGACTCAATTTACTTCAGTTTTGTTCAGAAATACATATCCTACTTCCTTCTGGATTTGTAATAGATAGACCTGGCTCAGCCCTGCTAATAATATCATGGAGAACACGTTGTTCCAGGCACTGGTAGAAATAATCTCTCTATTGTCCAGAGGAACCTATCCCAGGGAACTCCCTTTAACATGGCTCTGTGCTCAGTAATTTAGCTCACAGGGGTGTCATAGGCTTTAATTAATTCATGTCTGTACGGTGTTTTGCAGATGCAATCTGAAAATACTAAAACTAAGCTCCTACTTGAGAACAGTGCGAGTTCATCCTCTCCTTGCCAGATCTATACTAGATCCAGCTGGGCATGTTGTGAGCTATGCTTTTACAGGTTGGCGCTCAACCAGGCCAGTGTGGACCTGGGGAGAAAGAAAGGTCACCTGAGAGTGCTGCTCAGGCTGAAAAAATGTTTTCAGGTTTAATCACGGAAAATCTCAAGCAATGAAAGAAAACTGGTTTTGTTCTGTTAGTTTGCTTTTTCAGCTTCATTAATCAAAACGAACCTCTTATTTCACTTGTCATGAAAACTTGTTCGTAACGTACTTTTCACCTTGTATTTTCCAAGAAGGGACATGGCTTTTGACACTTTCTTCCCAAGAAGGCATTGCTGGAAACCACTAATATGTGTCATGTGCGCTCTTTCCAGCTTCCTCACTGTTTTGCTACACCTGCGACAATGAGCATTCCAACTGGAACTGCCTTAAAACCTACAAGTGTGAAGACCATGAGAAGTATTGTACAACTACATACAGCTCTGCTGGGTTTGGTGAGTACCAGCAACACCTCGAGGCTTTTTTTTTGTTTGTTTGTTTTGTTTTGTTCCTCCAGAGAAACTAATGGGCAATAGTTTTTTTTTAGGGCAGTAGTTGGTGTTGTTGGAAAGAACTGATCACTGAGGTTTGCAGCATGTAATGTGTGTGAATCCCTCAGCGGTGCTTTGTGATCCACAACCTGGGGTTATGTTCCTCATCACCTTGTGGCAGCGCTGGTTGAAGCACACAGATTTTAACGAGCAGACCCTCTTGCTTGATTTGAGAGCTCACAGCCTTGCTTTGCGATGGAGGGTGGAAAGGGGTTGGACGTAAGCAATGTGGTTTTAGAAACCGAAAATTCATTGGCAGTGATTTTTTTGCTGTCACACATGGAGCATGGTGTGGGTTTCTACCAAGGACTTTCTAGTGTCATGCAGTTGATCCAGGTTGTGTGGACCCACGCTCAGCACTCATCAAACCTGCTGATCGACATTATTGCTGCATTACAAATTAAGCATAGTGCGATACACCTCCTCCTATTGTCTTCTGATCTGCTCTTGCGGAAGAATCTGAAATCACAGCTCTCCTTTCTTGTCTATTCTCCATCCAGGTAAGGACGTGGGACACCGCATCACCAAGAAATGTTCTGTAGACTGTCCTGAAACGAACGTGAACTTCGGTATGGCAGCTTATTCCACCAAATGCTGTAGTACCTCCCTGTGCAATTTCAGTGGTGCCAACAGTGTAAAAATCAGCTATGCCGTGATGTTCCTGGGAATCGTGGCCAGCTTGATCTGTGTCATCAGGGCAGGATTGTGATGAGGGGCAGGAGAAGGTGTGACAACCCAAGAACCTACAAGGTATTCCCCAACTGAGAAACCAACATCCTCTGTCAAGTGTCTCCAACGGGGTCTATGCTACCCTGTTTTTTCCAAGACGCTTTCAGATCCCATCCACAAAATGGCATGACAGTGTAGCTCCTCTTTTTTCCCCTGTATCATTTGTTGTTTTGTACTAATTTTCCCTGGGAAAGCTCTTTTGATAGCAAGTGTGTGACAATTTTCAGGCAAAATAAAGATTTATGTTATTCTAGAGTGCGTTTGCTATATCCACACTAAGATCGGTCTGAGAAAACAGGGCTGCCAGAAAGGGTTATAGTCTGAATCTCTACTTCACATTGAATTCCTCTTTTTAACACCTGGGAGTCTTCTGGCTGCCTTTCTCAACTGACTCTGTTGTATCCAGCAGCTCAAGACAGACACTCCATGGAGCCAGATGTTCTGCCTGATCACTCAGTGCTAACGAATGAAGGTGTCAATCTGGAAAGGTCAAAGATGTTTGTGTTGTTCCCATTGCAAGCAACAGCTAGAACTGTTTTGTAACTGCTAACACACAGGACTGGGGGGGTTGCCAGGTGTTGGCTGTGTTGCAAAGTTCTCCTGTGATCTCTGCAGGGCGGATGGTTTCAGCTTTTAAAATAGGTAAAGAGCCCGCACCAAGATGCTGGAGGTGGCCCAGATGAGGATGGTGCTGCTGGAATCTGTCCTCATGGGAAGGGGAGCTCCATGCCTGCTTGGAGAAGACGCCGCTGTGATTGCTCATGACCTCCCCGCTAGGGAAAACGAGCAGAAAAAAAGCCTGGCAGAGGGAACGGGTGTCTGATGCGGTGGGAAGGTCTCTGCTCTTTCCCTTTCCTCTGTCACTGCTGCATTTCCAGGCTTGGGGATGGAGGAGACGGGGTGGTAATCCCCTGCAGCTCTTGGAAGAGCGGGGCTATAGCTAAGATGGGTAAAATACATGCACTCTCGGAGCTGGAGGGCTCACGATTCCCATCTGAGGAGTTTATAAATGCAATGCTGCATTTTGGGAAGGATTATGCATAAGTGGCACCCGGGAAAAAAGCTCTGATGTTTGCAGCCCAAGTGGATTTGAGGGGAGTCCTGCTCCACCAGCGCTCCAGGTGAGCTGCAAAGGGTACGTCTCCCTCTGCAACGGGGAGAAACCGCAGCGCTGGCTGAAGGCTGTGAACATGGGATTAGGTTTAGTCATGCCATAAAAAATTTAATTTCTGGGCAAGCAGAGTGTTCTGGCATTTATTTAAATACAAGATGGGCTAACTGAAGAACAGGAATGTTGTAGCATTTCTGTGCTGAGGACCAACAGAAACTTGGGGGGTTTGCGCTTTTTTTAACCACGGTTCCCATCACTTTTCCTATATGTTAATCACAGCAATTTCTGAAATGATTCTCAAAGCTTTTGACCAACTTGAAAATCCATATTTAGTAAAAAAAATCCTGAATTTCGCAGTTGCTTTCAAATTTCAGCTTTTGTTTCATGAAAACTACATGTTTTCACCAAAACAAAAAAAATTGTTTGCCCTTTTCACATGACAATTTCAACCAGCTTTAAAACAAGATGAGCAAAATGCTCTCCTTCCTTCTCCACTCAGTAACTGTGTCAATGGAAATAAATCTTTCCACCCGATCCTCCACCCCCAGTTAAATCCCCTGTTACTCTTTCCAAAATCTTACTGAAGTTCATAGCTTCCAAATACTTGTAAACTGTGATATTATCTTCTCTTTTGCCTTGGTTCCTCTGGAGTGTTAATCATCTGTGTCCTTTCTACTCCCATGGGTTCTTTTCAATCTATCTCACCTGGCACTGGTGAGGGATGAAGATAACATTAATATCAGGGGGACATATGGGACCAGTTGGAACAGTGCAGGACCATCTAATGGAAAATCTCAACTGTCAGAAATCCTGCAATAACTCCTTTAAGAAATACAGCCTTGCCACCTCAAAATTTCAGCAGCTTGCAGGAGACAAGAGATATTTTAGTTGTTGCTTGGATGAGACTACAAGGGAGGGGGAAAAAAAAAAAAGTGCCTGGCTGAGCTGCTATTTCTGTACCTGTTAATGGATGCTGTTGGCTGAAATAAATCTGCATGTGGGCTGCCTCTGCAGCGCAACATACGAGCTGCAGGATGGCACTGCCTTGTGACTAGAGCCCCCTTTTCTGCTATTACCTCAAATAGTCAGCAATAAAAGTTGATTTACCCGTAAAGACTCATGAAATCTCTTCTGGACCAGGGAAAATAAAATATTTCACAAGGCAGAGAGGGTTGCGCTGCCTGGCATGGAGGGTGCCAGCTTCTGTTTTCCTCCTGCCCGGTGCCTTACAAAGGCATTGGCCATATGAAGCCAAACAACGCCCGTCCTTTGAGCTTTCTTGGTTAATTGCCACCTCTGTTCCAACTGAATTTCATTCTCTACCTATTGAGAAAGCAGAAATTTCCTCACCTTAGTCATGCAGGTCTCCATACTAACAATATTTATATGTCCAATTTAGAGGTGTTGGAAAGACTTACATCACCTCAAGAATGAGGCATGCCTTTTCGATGAGATAAGGACCGTAGGTGGGTCACACTGGAAGCCCAAATATTTAATGGGAGATGGAAATCTGAGCAACTTTGAGGCTAAAAACAAAGGGAAATAAAGCAGATGGAGAGCAGCAAGGGGCAGAGCTGCTGGCAGAGGCCTGGGGCACACCGGTTGTCCCTGCAGCTCTGAGTGTCATGTGAAAGGGATCCAGCTGGACCATTTCTGGGACTGTGCCTCCGTCCCCACGACTAGACGGCAGAAAGACAACAGTGGGAGGAAAAAGCAACAGCAATCAGAAGAAGATGGGAAAGATTCTGATTTTACACAGGGAGATAGGATGAAACGTGATAAAAAAAAGGAGGAATAAAGAGCACCGTATGGAAATCCAGTGGAGTACTCCTATCTGGCATTTCACATAACTTTGGCTGGCTATGATTTTTTTTTTTTCTGAAGGCTTAATGAGTTGAGATCCTTGATCAGGCAATCCCTCATTCTCCATGCTTTAACTAGTTTGTTTTTTTCTCCCTGACATTTATTTTTTGCAATTCGTGAAAAAATTCACAGCTTGTTTAATGTGATGGGAGTGGGTGCTATTTCTATTTTTTAATTTAAGTGGTCATTTTCATTGCCCAATGGAATTTATTTTCTAATAAGATAACGTTTTCCCTCATATAAAATATCCAATTTTTTAAAAGAAACATTTATGATTTTGAACTGCTGTCTTAAAAAGGCCCACAGAAAATGACGTCTGGTCCCCTATGAAATGCAGTGGAAGGATACTGCTTTTCTGATCTAGCTGTACTGACAATCCTGGGAGACATTTTGTAGAAGTTTCAATCCCAATTTCAATTTTAAATTTAACCAATTTCCATATGCACTAAAACAGTACACGAGGACAGGATCTTTAAGGATGCAGCTTGCTCTGAGACCCAAGCTGGCCTGGCAAAGAAAACATTCCTCTTCTTATGTGGACACTGTTTTGTTTTTGTGTTTTGCTTTTCCTCCACTTACCCAGAATTAGAAACTGTTGCATAATTAACACCAGTTGAACAAGCTGCATTATGAAACAACTAGGAAAAGAAGGGGGGGGGGGGGAACATACGCCTGTAGATTTCCAACAAAGTGTACTTCCACATACAAGCACTGACACGTTACTCTCAATTATCCACCATCTGACACAGCAACCCTATAGTTATTATCGTAGCATCAAAGCAAACACTGCAGAGGTATAAAACCTGCCCTGGGTGAGTCCTGCTTGTTTTGGAGGCTGCGAGACCTATAAAGGATGAAGACTTCTCTTCTTCTTGTCGTGCTCGTCATTGCCCTGTGCACGGAGAGCGGTGAGTCTCCAAGGATTGCTTTGCACTAGCAAAACCCCCAGAGTTGGGGCACATCTTTGATACTGCAGGATGACGAGGGGATGTTGCACTATGAATCATAAAGCCGAAGGCTAATTAGACTCTAGACAAGATTCCAGTCTTGAAGCCAGGGGACCTATCCCCACCAGAAGTTGGAATATGCTGAGGACCTGACGTGGGGGGGATGAGATACCCACCTCAACTCCCTTGTGCAGTCCCAGCCCTTGGAGTGGCTCAGTGTAGGCAGCTGAGAGCCTTTGGTGCAGCTCTGTGAGCAGGGGGATTAGCTGAGGGATATACAGAGCTGGACAGGGAGAAGGCAGCATGTGCAGTGAAGCTGCAGATTTGACATATAACTAACTACAGCCTCTTCTTTTTTTTTTTTTTTTTTTTTTTTTTTTTTTTTTTTTTTTTCACTTGCTTGTTTATTGGTTGCAATTACAAATCATCGTTACTTAAATTGGTAGAGCTGGTCATGCCAAAAGAAAATGCCAGTCTGGCTCCCACCTCTTTCTTGCAGTTTGTTGCTTTGCGGTGCAACTTTGCTGATGCCCGGGTCTGGGATGGAGACACAGAGTCCCATTCTCATGCTGATAACTGCCTGAGTTTTTTGGGAAGGATGCACTGGGAACCTGCACTTTAACTTTGCCTGGTTGGGCTCTGCTAAGGATGGGTGCCTGTGCCTCTGAGAGAAGTCCTCATTGCAGAGGGGTGGGCTGTGGGCCAGGCAAAAAACAGCCCTGAATATCTTCCTGACTATTCCAGGGGAGTAGTTGATGCCATCAGCTTGTGGGGCTTTTGCCTTATTGCAAACTGAATTTTTCTCAGGCTCTGCTGTAGGGTTTTACCCGCAAATTACTGGCCACTGTGGTCCTGGTCTAGCAGAGCACTTAGGCTCACACTTAATTTGAGGCTGGAAATGTTCTTACTGTGGGACTTCACAGGCTTTAAATTTAGCATGTGCTAAACCACTGTGTGCAATGGGGTTGAGAAGGTTGAGGGCACTAAAAGGATTCTTTCTTGAAGCTTAGCAACTGTAATCACATTTTTCAAAGGATCACATAATGAGACAGCAAACTTATCAAAAGAGTGAGTGAAAATTAACACATACGCAGCACCACTTTGCTGTGCGATCTAGCCAGAAGGCTGCTTGCTGTTCCAATTAATCCTGAACCTGACTGATTTTAACGGTGTAAATCCTGCCTCTGCCGGCACTTGCACTTGCTAATACTTTACATGTGTAAGTTGTTTATCTGGGTGCCTCGAATTATTCACATCAAAATCTTCCTTGAGAAATGTTCTTTTTCAATTAGAGCAGAGGTCTTGCTGGATGCCGACAGGAACCTCCACGGG